GACATCTACATGCTTAGGTCCAAGCTGTTTCAGACGAATGTCCAGTGCACGTGCATAGTTGTCCTTTGCTTGCTGGAAACGTCCTAGACCTCTATGTACAGTACCCAGGTTATTATAAGATGCTGCAACATCTACATGGTCAGGTCCGAGCTGTTTCTGAAGAGTATCCAATGGAAGTGCATGATTGTCCTTTGCTTCCCGAAAATCTCCTAGACTTCTACGTACAGTACCCAGGTTATTGTAAGAAGCTGCAACATCTACATGCTCAGGTCCAAGCTGTTTCAGAAGAATATTCAATGCAAGTTCATGATTGTCCTTTGCTTGCTGGAAATCTCCCAGACTACTGTATACAGTACCCAGGTTATTGTAAGAAGCTGCGACATCTACATGCTCAGGTCCAAGCTGTTTCAGAAGAATATCCAATGCACTAGTATAGTAGTTCTTCCCTTGGTCTAAGTTACCCTTACATTTGTGTGTGATTCCCGCAAAGATGTAGATTTCTGCTTTTCCTACAGCGTCGTTTGCGTTACCTGAGTGTATAATTTCCAAGGCTACTTCGGAGCAGTTCTTTGCAGCTTCGTATTCAAAATGGTCGAGGCACATTTTTCCGAGGATCCGGAGGCCATTCAGACAACCTTGTAAGGGCATATCACCCACTTTTCTGACTTGAGGTAAGTCTTGTTCAGAAAACAGATATTTAGCCCTCAGGAGCAGTTTTCTTAGGTGGGGAACAAGTCTTGAGCCGATGGTAAAGGTATCTAAGTCATCGAACTTGGCAAATGATGCAACAGCCCCAACGACAGCTTTAATGTATAATTCCTTGGCAAAATTTGTTTTTAAAGAATCAAGTACATCACGAACGACTCCATGCACTCGGATACAGACGCTGTCACCTTCCTCTTCAGATAATAACAATGAACATCGATTTATGTTTGATCTGATCCACCCTTTATCAGTAAATTCTTCATCTATTTCCATGATGTAATTGACAGCGACGTCTTGGGGTATTGGCTGAGGTGAACAAAGAGCAAGAAAGGTGAACAGGTGATTAATAACTCTGTTGGTCGCCATTGCTTCTTTCACTGCAAGGGTTATTGCTGTTGTCATGGGCTTCTGGTATCTTGGATTTGTCTCTGCAAGGATGGTCTCCGTCTTACTTTGTTGACCACCTGCAACTTTCTCCAGGTAGTCACCGCAGCCAAAGCTAACAGATAATTTACTCTGCCGGACTTCTCG